CCCTGAGCAATATAATTCAACTCATATTTGAGAACTGTTATATGTCATGTGGACATATAGATAAAAAGTTCTCCCTTATGCATCCTCATTCTATTGATGGAGACCCCAGACAAGGTAAATAAACGGTAGGTTTACTGTTAAGTCCAAAGGGGAAAATACTGGGAAGGGATGGTGGGTAGGAAGGAATTACAACTGTGGATGTGGTCACCAGAAAAGGGCTCAGTGAGAAACTGATTTGGGGTTAAAGTTCAGGAAAAATTGAAGTCAGTATGTGTCATGGATTGAACATTTCTTTCCCAAACTCCATGCTCAGGAGATGATGGTAACTCAGGCATTACATACATGGGAGACAATAACCAGTCATGTTACATGTAAGAGGCAGAGGCTGTTAGCCAGTGGCTAACAGTGGATTACCACCTTGGGGGATGGCTGCTTGGAAGACCAGTCAGGGAGAGTTCAACTCTATTTTGTCAGATACAGGTTTAGTTCCAGGTGGAAAATCAAAGATAAACGCACAGGCAGGTAGAACTCACCTAGCTGTTTCCCCAGTGTAAGTAACAAATGTCTACCGAGTGCTTTTTTGGTGTCTTAAAGTGCTGGCCATTCGTCTCAGCCTCTCGTCTCAGCACTCGGGAGACAGAGGTAGAAGGATCTCTGTGAGTTTGAGACGAGCCTGGTCTACAGAGCCAGTTCCAGAACAGCCTCAAAGCCATAGAGAAACCCTGTCTCGAAAAGGAAAGGAAAAATGCTGGGCTTCTAGAAAACATGCATGCAATTGTGGGGAAGAAACAAGCTAATTATAGTCATGTCACAACTCCCATTAGGGTCGTAGGAGGGGAGGAAACACTGAGTTTGAAATGACCACTTTCAGAGTATAGACTGAGGTAATAAGCCCAAAGGGAGATGGTAGGGAAACGCAATGCTGTGCTTCCGTAAGTGCAGCCCGTTCTGTTCAGTGAGTTAATATCCTTGTAAGTCATCTTCCCGATGACTGGGCTCACCCAGAATAGAACTGATCGGTTCGGGGAGCTCAGGCATGCCCCTTTTGACAAAGATCGGAAGCCAGGAGGCTGAGAAGACATTAGCCAGAGGGAAGAGAAATGGCATAAGGCAGAGGGTTCCTGGGGACTAACGGGTTTCAAGTTCAAGAATATGAGAAAGCCAGGCTGGTCGTGGACCAGAAGGTTTTAGCCCTTGTAAGCCAAGTTGTTTTTAATCAGGAGAGAAAGGAGAAGCCAGCTGTTAGGGTTGGATCAGATGCTGCAGTCAGATACCTGTGGTTGGAGGTAGATGAAAGGGGGCGCTGTAGGGCTCGGAGGCTGAGTGGCAGTGGTGGAGGTGAGGGGTCTGATGGGGAGGATGTTAGCAGACAACACATGGGTGTGAGCACACGACATGAACACCCTGCTTTTTTTTTTAACCTTGGGCAGTCATGTGCAGATGCAGTTAATACCGGGATTGAGAATGCTGAAGAACCCTTAAATTGAGATAGAAAGGTGAAGGTCTTAGACTTTTTTAGTTTTCCTGTATGATGCCCCCGGCGGGAGCATAGAGCAGCTCAGCTGTGGCGGGAGGGTCCTCTGAGGAGGACCAGAAACCGTGGGAGTACATGAGGTCCAGCTGCCTCTGACTTAGGCAGACCCCTGTCTACTTTGTCCTGTGTGGGTGAGAAGACCCCAAGTGTCTTGTGGAAACCCGTCTGTTTGTCCGGCTGTAAGCACTTCTAGAGCCGGCATCCCAACTAACCACAGCAATAGCTCAGTCAAATACTTCAGTTATACCCCACATGAGCGGAGCACTTGACCTGAAATGTCCCTGTGGAAAGTACCACAAGGTAGGAGCTGCAGAGGCTCACAGATGTGCTTCGGGTAAAGAGTGTGCGGTCACATTCAGGTCACACTGGTCCATTGTTATCACTCCCCGGTTCCCATTATCCGCAGCCCCCATGCTCCCAGCCTTCACACCCTGTCACAGTGTCTGGCCAATGTGGCTCCTTTCCAGTGGCTGTTTGAGCAGGGGAGCATAAACACCCGTGACGCGGTGGTCACTTCCTATTTTTAGCCTGCCACACCCATCTCTCTTAAGGTGTTCCCATTACAGTTTGGGATTAGGGTACCAAAGGCAGAAAGGTAGGTAGGTGTGTGTGTGTGTGTGTGTGTGTGATTTCTAGCCTCTAGACAGCCACCTGTGGTAACTGTGGGCTGCCGGAACAAAATACCATATTTGATAGATTAAACAACAGGAATTTATTTTCCCATAGTTCTGGAAGCTAGAAGTCCAGCTTGAAGAGCCCGGTTAATCAGTCTCTGAGGAGAGTTTGTAGATGGCCAGCACCTGTGCAAGTGCTCACATAGCCTTCTCAGCTACGGGGAACGAGGGAAGGATGAGGGCCTCACCCGAGCCTCCATGAAGCTCCAGTTCCCTGCAAATGCAACCGTTCTGGGAATCAGGACCTCAACATAGGAATGTGGGAAGAACATACACATCATTCAGTCCACGGTACTAAACTGTAATCACATTGTAGTCTACTTGGTTGCATATCATCAGAGGACAGATGGGAACTCGGCCACATCCTGATGCTCCTGGAGAATCCCAGTCCAACATGAGAAGCATCCCTGCTCAGCTAGCCCAACACTACCATAGGAAATGGAATGGAGTTACTCAGAACAGTCGCGCTGATATACGGTGCTCTTTCTGATTCTGCTTGCTTTCTAGATTCCAGATCCACGTGGGCCCAATTATCTGAGGGTGTATTCCAGAAGCATCTATTGGAAGTAGCCAGAGATGTGTTCCAGCTCACGTCTGTCTTAGCTACTTTTGCCACCTTGCTCAGTGTTTTATGAAGTGATCCCCATGGTCCTGGATCCTGGATCACTGTCGCTATAGCTGATGACAGAGGTCTAGGGACCACAGGAGACTGATTGACTTCATAAGCAGTTACTCAGTCATGCTCTCTGAGGGACCAGCCCGTTGCTTTTTCTTGTGGCCACAGAAGTCTGGTGAGCACACCATGTCTGGGAGTCAGCTTTCTCCCTCAGCAGCGGTGCCTCAAGTCTGAACCTCAATTTAACTCATTCTGTGCAAGCATTGCGCAGGCTGTTACACTGGTTTAGTATGCTACCCGGCAGAGCTAGGATACCATACCCATTTCACAGAAGAGGCCGCAGGACATGGGTTAAATAGTTCATACAAGGTCATATGGCTTTTGAGAGACTCTGACTCAGCATACCACCTTCAAAGCTAACCACTGGAAGGACGTTGTACAGGAAGGTCCTGTTCCTCCATACCCCTACCCCTTCCACTCCCCAGCCCCCAGCCCTCACCCCTTTCCATTCCCCGGCCCCAAGCATATGATTTTGGTATGCCAGCTGGGGGCTCAGGTTTTATGTATCTACCTGTGCTCTCAGAGTCTCTAGTGCAACCATGTGGCGTGTGGATTCGCCAGCTTATCCTTACCGAAGGTTTGAAGATGTTTGGCTCCATTTCCAAATAATCTAAAATACTGTGAGGAGATGATGGAGTGGGGAGCTCCAGAGCCTGGCTGTATGAGGATCCAAGCCTGGAGCTTTCCTAGTTCCTCCTTCTTCCTACGATAGGGGTAGGGGGCACGAAAGGGAGCCTTGCTTAGTCTCCCTGGACCTCCTGTTTGACTCTCTGAAAACCCCTATAAATGTTGCCGAATTCTCTGTGTGTATGCATTTGGGCCAATGTGCTCTCCTGTTTAGATTCTCAAAGCTTCCATGTCTCCAGCATGGTTTAGAATGAACTGGATTAATATGTCAAATTCTTAAGTAAAAATGTTTCTTAAGCTCAAGTGAAGTGAACTTCTTTAAGCCAAGTGGCTTCTGAAGTATTTCACACACCCATTAAAATAACTCCGTGGCCTGGCATGGTAGCCCAATGCCTTTAATCCCAAGGGACAGGCAGACCTCCCTGAGTTCCGAGCCAGATAGGGCTATAAGACCCCATGTCAAAACCCAACCACCTCCCTGGAATTAGGCTAACTTTGAAAAGAGCCAAGGTTGTCAGGGACAACCTCACCCTCCAGTTCTTTGTCCTCAGTCCCACGCATCTGCTCCTGTGGGGTTCTTGAGGCTGGCTTCTGCCTGCTTGGGAGGATGCTCTGTCTCCCTCTTCAGGACTACCTTCACCAAGTGCTGGCCCTGGTTCAGGAGCTTCAGGCCCAAGAAGGCTCCAAGATCGAAGTCTGTCAAGGAAGGACCTGCCTCGCAGAGAGGGTCTCCATAGGGTCCTGTTGGCAGGAATTTATCCAGTTATCCCTGGAGTCTGCTGGAAAACAAAAACAAAACGAACACTTTCTAGAGCTAGTAAAATGCTGGGGAGAACCAGAGAGGAGCCGCTATGCTCAAGACCCCTACCCTCACAGGTCTATGCCTGCTGGGGATGGACCCGTTCATATTCCATTTCCAAAATGGTGTAACCAGTGATCAGTGTTCTCAGTGCTGGGGTTAGTTTGGTGAGTTTGTATTGTAGAAATAAGGTCCTTGGAGGCATGAGGTGCCTCCGTTGCAGCATCCAGTGGCTGTGACCATCTGCCCCCCCCATTGCCTCCCTTTTCCTCCTGCTCTTATAGGAAATTAGGTTCTTGAACCGAGACACAGTGAAACCTTACATCATTTCTCTGTCGGATCCCCAGGGTCAAAGAGCAAGAGCTTGTGGGAGCGGGAAGTCCAGTTGGGACAGGCAGCTCCTGCTTAGTTCTGAGCTCCCAATGCCTGCTCTGAGCAAAATTAGGAACTCACCGGGCAGGCCAGGCTCCTGTATCTGCGGGGGTACTCCTCTTTCTGGATGGTTTCCTGGCAGGACCCGCTGGGGGCGGGGAGGGGGGGAGTACTCGCCTGGGGAGTACTTTTCAGGTACCTGGACCAGGACCCCATGCAACCTCAATGGCTCTCCGGCCATCTCTTATTCTTCAGGTCCGAAAGGGTCTTTAGTTCTAGGAGAAGTGTTCCAGGGGCCAGCGTCTCCGGAGCTGCTCTGCTTTGCGAGGCCAAGACCAAGCGCCCCGCGGCCCTGATTCTGTGTGCTCTATACCGGCCGCGTCTTCCAGGGCGCACGGGCATCGCGCAGTGAGCGGTCGTGGGGCAGAGCAGCAAAGGCCGAGTGGCGCAGCTGGCAGCCGATGAAGAGGACGACAAGAGCCACGGAAAGCAGCAGGAGGAAGAAGAGCAGCAGGTAGGTGGACAGGTCCGGCTTGGTGGCCGAGCTGTCCCGAACTCCACGCGCGGTGGCCAGCTCCAGAGGCAAAGCACCCTCTGCCTTAACGGTGGCTCCAGGGGCCAGCGCGCCGCTTCCCGCTGCCTCCGGGCCGCTGGTGGCGTTAAACACGTCGCCGTACATGATCCGCGGGTCCCGCCGACCCCGGCAGGACCACCTCACTTCTGCTGCAGACCTGGGGAGCTCAGAACCTCCATGATGTTCCTTCTGCCCTGCTGCGCGTACCTGAGGAGGAATCGTGCCCCTGCGGGCGGCGAGGTCACAAAGATCACGGCCGGGGTGGGTTGTGTTTCGGGGGTGGGGGCGGCTGGGAAGAGTCCAGATGTTTAGCCGCGGGGACCCAGGCACCTCAGCCGTTCCTGCTTCTGGTTGTTGCTACCAGGACAGAGCCCCTGGCCCATCAGGCGGTTTTTCTGTCCCTCTTCAGCTCGGGTGAGCTCCGGAAAGCTCCGGAGCACTCCTGGGCTGCAGCAGCTGCGAAAGGTGTGGGTGAATGCAGCAGCAACTCTGTGGGGCTCTGTGCTGGGCTTGAGGTGCTCCAGGACCCTCCCTCACCGGGTCCCAGAGCCCCGGGTCCTTGTCCAGACGCCGGGTGTGTAGGAGCCTGTCCTAACACGCTCCCACCGCTTCGCTCCTCCTGGAGCTGGAGAGTGAGCTCCTAGCGCCTTGTCCTGGGCGGGAGGCAGGGAGGTGACAGGATTTGCTGCACTGCCCTGAGAGAGAGGCTGCTAACCAATGGATGAGGATCAGAAAGGACGCGGGCAGCATTGAGACTGCCTGCCTCCTGTCACTCACCAAAGAGGATACTGAGGAGGGGGGAGGGAGAGAGAGAGGGGAAGGAGCAGAGAAGGCCAGCAGTGGAGCGGGTTTAATTCCTCTTCTTGGTTGTTTCCCCCCTGTCTGCAAAGCCTCACACCTGCCATTGAAGGAGCTGGGATTTGAACCCGGGATATTGCACCGTGAGTAGCCTCTCGTGGCAGAGTAGTTTCTGGTAGCTGCTGTTCATGTCTGTAACTGCACTTTGACTGTAGGATAGAAGCTTCAGGGTTCCTGTCCCACATTGCAGTGGCACCTCTACCTACCCCAGGTGGATAGGAACCCAGGAAGGATGTCACTGGACAAGGTTGCACAGTTGGGCTGTAGCTCTAAGGAACCTGGACTTGGTCCCCATCTACCTTTTTATGGGGGGGCGACACAAGTGGTTTATGACCAGCCATAGGCCATGGGGCAGAGCATTCAGTTAATGGGAGAGGTGCTTAGCTAGAGTCCTTTGGGGATCCCGAGAGGGACCCTCCACTGGGGAATTGACTGTGGGCATGACTCTGGGGCATTTCCTTGAGTGATGGCTGTTGTGGCAGGTGTGTTGTGCCATCCCTGGGCAGGTCATCCAGGGCTGTGGGAGCAAGCCAGTAAGTAGCATCTCTCCATGGCTTCTGCTTGGGCTCCTGCCCTCATGTCCCTCAGTGATGGGCCGTGACCAGGAAGTAAGCCCAAACAAACCATTGGTGGTCCTGGAAAAGGCCGGTGGCCAGAGCAGAAGTGGGGAGTCCGTGGGACTGGGGTGGTGGCTGCAAGTCCTCCCTTCGTGCAGGAGCTGAGCACACAGCAGGCCTACGTTCAACAGACACTGGCTGCCTTTGACGTTGTTGTTGCCCAGCAAGGCCAGGGCCAGCACTACAGGTGAGAGGTGCAGGGACAATGTGGACAGCGGCCCTCTTCCAGTCCCACACTCCAGATGTCCCTGTCACTCCTCACTCAGCCCGGTGCCAGCTCTGTCACCTCAGCAACTGTGGAAGAGCTTCACACAGTCAGCCACATTCATGTCTGTGAGGAAATGAATGCCTCAGGAAACCCGGGGCTGTGGGAAGCCAGTGGGACAGGAATGAGCTAGTTCCTCCACCCCGGGCTTGGCTACAGGCTGCATTGCAAGAGCAGCCAGCGCATGGCGCATGGCGTGCCAGAGGTCATCCCCACGAGCCCCTTCCTCAACTGCCTCTTCGGCCTGTCTGAGTTGACATGGTGGCCCCAAGGGGTGAGTGGCAAGGTGTGCTAAAGTTCTCCAAGGGCCTCTGCAATGGCATGTAGGGGACCCTGGGGGGCCTCCCTGGACCAGGATGGAGGACAGCTGACAGCCTTGACAGCTTTAGTCCTGGCAAGCAGCCAATGTGCTTAAAGGACACCAGTCCCTGGGCCTCTACATTTGGCTGCGGTTTAGACCAACCGTTCACTTTTCAGATGGCAAAGTTGGCTCTGGGGGTGCCAGGATTTATCTTTGTTAGCACAGGAGACTATCACTGGCGCAGGGCTGCAGTGGCAGGGGGTGGCAGGGGGTGGCAGGGGGTGGCAGGGGGTGGCAGGGGTCTTTTCTCTGTGGGCCTGATCCATTTCTTACTGCACTTGCGTGGGGAATGGGATCCCACAGGCATGCCAAGCCAGAACAGGTCTCACTGGTACCACACCCACCCTCACATGGTGGCCCGCCGGTATCCGGGGACACGGTGGACGGAGGTTTTGTCCTGTGTTCTGGTGTGGCTTGAATGAAAGGCTCTGTGGCTAGTTTGGGGCTTGGCCTGGAACACTCTCCTGAGGGCTGTGTGGGAAGCCTTGAGTCTCACTTGTCCTGTCTCCAGTCCTGGCTAGGTAAGTGCTCAGGCAGCCGACTTCCTACAGCTGGGAGGGAGTTTGAGTGGCATTCTGGGTAGGACAGCGCCTTTGGGCTGTAAAGGGAACCCTGATAGCAGACAGATGCCTCGTCATGCCCAGGTTGTGTTTCTAGGACATGGCTGTGGGACATGGGTGTATAAAGAGTGTTTGGTGTGAAGTGAGGTGATCCGGGCAGCAGCATAGGCTCCTGGTGAGGATGGAGTCATCTCTGGTTCTGGGGTCCCCTCTCTACGCTGTGCACGGCCTCCTGCCTGGCAATGAAGGAGCTGGGCCACCAAGGCCACACAGTTGACTTTACTTGAGTCACTCCCGTGGCGGAGTGGATCTGGAAGCTGCTGCCCAAGCCTCTGTCCACAAAAAGGCATGGGCGGCATGGGCGGCACACTGCACACTGCACACTGTACCCTGTGAAGGCACTTTAGTACCTCTGCATCCCCCAGCCAAGAGGCGGGACCCAGGAAAGGGGTTACTTTCAATATTGCCATGTGAGGAAGCCTCAAATTCCACAGCCTGGGAATATCCACTCAATCTATAAAGGACCGTGTCTTTCATTTTCACAAAGTTGGATGGGGTACACTGCCCCTTTCGGGGAGTCCTCTGGTATTGATGGGGAAGCCACAGTTTATTTTCTGAAAGCTAGTCAGAGCCCTGAGAGGGTTGATCACGTTCCCTGCACATCCCCGGGCAGGAAATTAAACAAGGCTGGTACTAAGTAAATTTGAGATGAAGTTTACACAGCTTTTTATACAAGCCAGAGTGACCTTCCATTAGGGAGCTTTGTGTACTCACACATTTAAGTATTTGGAAAAATTGTAAAAGGGGGCTCTGAGGCTGCCTTTGACTGGCAGAGGTCACAGGCTGTGAGCTCGCAAAGACCTCTCTCCCATTACGTAGTTTATTGAGTGACACGTGTGTCTTTCCTGATGCCTGCTGCAGAGACCGAAGGGAGGGAAGGTAAGGACACCTCTCCAGCCATCACAGCCGTTTGGCAGCTGTGGGAACTGAGGGACATGGGGAGCATTGAGCCCCAGGATTTTCTAAACTTGGCTGAAAACCGTGTGGTGTGTGGTGAAGCCATTTCTGTTTCTTTGTGGGGAATCACTGTGAGACCATTAGTGTCAAACAGAGGCTGGGAGTGAAGGTCAGAGGTGAAGAGACTCGTGTGTGTGTGTGTGTGTGTGGGGGGGGGGGTGGGCAAGTTCATACCTCCCCTCTGAGTTCTTGCAGAACATATTTTTGTTTATTTATTTATTTTGGAGATAGGGTCTCTGTGTAGCCCTGGCTATCCTGGAGCTCATCTGCAGAGCAGGCTGGCCGAGAACTCAGAGATTCGTCTGCCTCTGCCTGGAGAGTGCTGGGATTGAAGGCTCTGCCTCTGCCTGGAGAGTGCTGGGATTGAAGGCGTGCACCACCAACACCCAGTTCTTTTTATTGTTTTAACTGCTTTTGCCCCAGTCTCCTGAGGACAAAGGGGAGGTGCTGTGTTTCTGGCAAAGCAAAGGCCCCTTCTTTGGGACTCCTCTCCCACCGCACGCCTGCTGCTCTCTGGCACGCCTGTTCTCCCGCCTGTTGCCTGTCCTCATTTGGGGACACTCGCTGCTTCCATCTCCTGATCCCTTTTGATTATGAAGACAAAAGCCTCTGAGAAGCATGGGGCACCATGATGAATGGGTTGTGTAGGTGCAAGAAGCCACCGGGCAGTCACAGCGCTGCTGCGACTCTGGAAGGAAGGGCCTGAGAGGAAGAACTTAGCGCCCATCGCCCAGGCTTGAGAGGAGTTCCCCAGCAAACTTGGCCCCATCGGAGCTGAGCTGCTCCTAGGCCGGGGTGTAGGGCGCAGGGGCAGTTCTGAGCTTGCTGATTCCTCGGAAGGCTATTGTGCTTGGCTCAGGCTGGGGCTGGCGACCCATTGTGTCTTGTTGAGTTCTGGGAGAAGACTCAGGTGGCAGGAACCAACCCGCCTTTCTGAATCTTACTGGTGTCTGGGCCAAGGTGAGCGCCCCCTTGTGGTCAGTGTCTCCCTTTTTTTTTTTTTTTTTTTTTTTTCTTTTCTGGTTTGTGTTTTAAGGCATGGTTTCACACTGTAGACAAGCTGTCACGGAACATGTGACAGCCCTCTAGATGCCTCAGCCTCCCTGCTGCTGGGCAGTTACAGAGGCGAGCATCTCACCTGGCTCATGTGACACTCACTCCTGTGGTCAGTAGTGCCAGGCCCAGCCTGTGTTGCCGAGCATGGAGAGAGACGACGGCAGCTTCCTGCCTCTGCTCTTCCGAGTAAAACCTGGAGTTTGTACATGAGGGGCGCTCTCTGAGAATAAGACTCAGGACTCAGTGAGCATTTTATTTAGGACAAGAAACAGAATCAAAGTAAATGTTTTTTTTAAAAAATCTGACAAAGGCGCCAAGTGTGAAAAGAGAAACAAGCTAGACAGCTTCGCCCTGGACCTGTGGTAGGTCTGAATGAAAATGACCCCCCCCCCCCGCCCCGTGGGCACTGAGGACTGACATTACTAGAAGGTGTGTTCTTGTTGGAGTGTCCTTGTTGGAGGATGTGTGTCGCTGGGGGCTGGACTTTGAGGTTTCAGATACTCAAGCAAGGCCCAGTGACGCTCTCTGTCCCTGATGCCTTTGGATCCAGATGTCACCTGCATGTCACCATACTTCCTGCCAAGATGACGATGGACTAACGGTAAGCCAGCCACAATTAAGTGTTTCCTTT